GCGCCCCCGCGGGGAACACCGGCAGGTGGTGGAGGCGAGATCGCGGCTTCACCCGGTCCCGACCAGCAGCGGCGATGGCCTCGGCAGCTGTGGAGAGCTTCGTGACCAAGCAGTTGGATCTGCTGGAGCTCGAGAGGGACGCAGAGGTGGAGGAGCGCAGGTGCGGCGGCCGGCGGCCGTCCTCTCGGGGTCTGTCCTGCTGGCCCCTCCAGCCCGGCACGCCGGGACCCCGGGCGGAGCCCCCAGGAGCTCGGCTTAGCAAGCCTCGGGCTGGGATTTCCTCGCCCAGCCCCTCAAGTGCTGGACGGGGGCCTGTCGGCCCTGTTAGGCCACCTCCAGAGAGGGCAACGTCGTCACCTCCCTGGCAGCCCGTTCTTTTTTTAAGTCTCCCCACCCCCGTAGGGCGCGTGCACTCTCTGGAGAGAGAAAGAGACAGACAGACAGACAGAGAGAGAAAGAGAAAGTGATAAATCACCCCGTGGGGAGAATGGCCGCCTGCAATTTTCCCCCCTCCATTCTCCTCTAGAGATTTTGGGCATGCAGGCACGCACACGCTCCTGGAGCTGAAATCGCAGTCGACCCCGTGGAGTACAGCACCTTAACCTCCACGCCACCCGCTGACCCCAACCCATTCTTTCATCGACCTGAAAACCTCCCTTGCTGAACTTAACATTCCTAAGTCCAGACCCTACCCAGTTCGACCCCCAGCGTGTTCTCAACCCTTTTCCTTATTTGTCCTCTCAGCAAGCATCATTTGCGCCTAAGCAGTGTCAGACAAAATAAGTAAGATTGATATGGTCATTTGGACGCTGGGATGAGCCGAAGGGATGGACTTTACACAGCCTTCCTGCGTGACCAGAGCTAGCTGCAAGTGGCTGTGTAAAGTGCTGTGGGAGCAGGAGGAGGAACTTCCTGCTCTGCAGAGGTGTAAGCATAGCTTCATGGAAGAGGTGGTGCTTGAGCATAGCCTGAGGAAAAGTAGGAGTTCCTCAGATCTGGGGAGCCTGGGGAGCCTGGGGAGCTGAGGGAGCTGGGCTTAATTCTTAGTAGTAATATTTGCCTGGATTGGTAAGAACTAACACCTATACCTTACACTCATTAGCTCCTTCAATCCTCATGGCAGCCTTGCCAAATAAGTTGCTGTAACTTTCCTTCTTTGACTTTGGAGCAAGAGACAGAGAGAGGTAAGCAATTTGCCCAGGTTAACACAAGTGTAGTTGGGATTTGAGGTCAGGCAGCCTGATTCCAGAGTTTGCATTGCAACTACTCATCAATGGCATTTCCCTAAGAGGCTTTTGATCATGCCCGTTAAGAGCTTTTGCAGTCACGTATGTCTTTTCCCTCTTATTTTAACATTTTTGCCAAATGGCATATGCAATTGTGAGAGAAACAGAGGGAAAGTGAGCAATCATCCCCCACGGAGGATGGCCACATAGCAATCCCTTCTTTATTCTCCTTGTGGGATTTTGGGCACACACTCACATGCGCCTGGTATGAGTTTCAAGCCACTGGGTCTGGGACTAAAACCATGGTCAGCCATGTGGGAGTCCAGTGCCTTAACCACCATGCCACCTGCCGGCCCCTAGTTGTACTATTCTTAGTACAGTAGAATCCCAGCCCCTTCATTTATGGCTGTGTGGCTTTGCAGGTTGTGTCTCTGAGCAATGCTTACCTCATCTGTAGAATGATCTGCTCTGAGAACCAAAAGCTGTGCTATTGGTCAAGTGTTGAGCATAGTGCAAAGGTGGAGTGATTGGCCACAACGGTGGGTGTTGCTGGCAGTGGTGAAGAGGTCAGGATCCAGACTAAGAAGGGCTTTGGTAAAGAGCTTGCATTATATTGTGTGCAGAGGATGACCAGCATTGAGGTTAAGCAAGTGAGAGAGGTAAATAATTTTTTATGAGGATCGCTTGGGTACTCTTGTTGCCAATAGGATGGGGAAAGCTTAGAGGTAAGGCAGTTAAGAGGCCCTGTTTGGGGACCAGTAGATGGTGTAATGGTTACATCGCTGGCCTCCCATGTAGTCAACCGTAGTTCAAATCCTGGACCCGGTGGCTTAAAACAAACAGGACACATGTGTGTTTTTGCCCAAACTCCCGAGAAAGGAGAATGGAGAAGGGCTTGTGGTATGGTCATCCCCCCTGGGGGGTGATTTCTTGCTTTCTGTCTCTCTGTCTCTCCAGTGAGCACATGTGCCCTGTAGTAAAAAAATCTCTTTAAAAAAAAAAATAAAAAGAAAGAAAAGATAAAAAGAGGCCCTGTCTGGGGCTAGTAGGTGGTGTGTGGCTAAGGCACTGGACTCCCACATAACTGGCCACGGTTTGAGTCTCCTACTTGGCAACTTGCTTTCTCACTTTCCCTCTTTTTCTCTCTCTGTGTCTCTCTCTAGTGAGCACACATACCCTGTAGCAAATTGGAAAAAATAAAAAGATAAATAAAATAAAAATGATCTTTTTTCTTTTTTTAAAAAAGAGGTCCTGTTTAGTCCAGGTTCATGATATGGGCTTGAACCAGGGCTATGGTACAGAAGATAAGAGACAGAGATGGTGGGACCAGCAGGTGGTATAGAGATTAAGGCACTGGATTTCCACATGGTCAATTATGGTTCAAGTTCCAGACCTGGCGGCTTGAAACTCATGCCAGGTACATGTGCATGGGCGTGTGCCCAAAATCCCAGAAGGAGAATGGAGGAGAAGGGAGTGCAGCGTGGCCATACCCCCAGGGGAGTGATTTCTTGCTTTCTTTCTTTGTCTTTTTTTTTTTTTTTTTTATTTGAGAGTTTTTGTTGTTTGGG